TCGTACGAACCCTTTGTACGAACAAAAGTAAGAGAAATTTAGGATAAGAATACGAACATGTTCTTGCATGAGGCCCATTGTGAGTAATCTGAAAATTTTTGTTAATAAAAAAAATTTGGAGAAAAAATGGCAACATATCGTTTGATTACAGTATTGCAATACATTGCGATATATCGTATCGTGTGTCACGATATGTATCATATCACCAAATTCTTGCCTACATTCTGTTATAATGTAGCTCATAATAAACTTCACAGGTGAAGAGTTTTTCATGCTACACCATGGATGTGAAATCTGGAGTCCAAGAGTAATGTGGGTCGGTTTTGTGGCTCAGGGGTGGTTGGCTCTGGACCGCATGCAAACATTTATCTGGGCACTCGGTTCTGTTTGTTCAGGCGGGTCACATTATGCCAGCGCGTCACGCGGAGGGGCGTGCTTTGGTGATGATGTTTGAAACAAAAAAAAAGTGGATGCAGAAAACCACAAAACACTGATTTGTTTGGGAAAAAACCAACAACCTGCAACTGATATCCTTTCAGCCTTTTGACAGACCGAAGTTTCTGCGAGCYGTTTGGCCTGCAGCAAACTGAGGACGTGATGGAGAGCTCTTTGTACCGTCGGCTGATTGAAAGGTTTTTGTTCAAACACGATAAGTCTCCTCAGGCTCTCTGGGGTTTAACGGGATCAGTGACCCTGTACAGTGGAGACTCCACAGCTGCAGATGGTTTAGATTTCTTAAAAGTCGATATATGTTGAGTAGTTATGACCAGTCAGTGTCTTACCTGCAATGGGCAGMGGAAGATCAAATAAAGAAGTTAAGCTAACCGCTAATTCATGGATAGCCCAGTAAAGAGATTTTTAGCCATCAAACATGTTTCAAACTTTTAGAAAGTAAGAATTTTGGTTCATCTGAAGGCTTTAATAGTAACATTTATATTGTACAGTATTTATAGTTTATATTGTAGCGTATTTTATTTTTCTGAGATCTTCAAAGATTTTAGTGAATTTATCTTCCAGTTCRATACACCATGCACGAGTCAGGTGATGGATGTGAGCAGAATATATTTAAGATTAACTTCTTAAAAGGTACTTCARCTACTCCTTCCTCTTCCCATGTGTGAAGGTTCAAATCCTCAAAGCAACAAAGATCTTTCCTCCACACCTGGACAACATACCAGACCGACAATCCCTCACTCACTGTAAGTGTTTCAAGCTGTGGAACAGATGAGCTTCTTCTCGTCACATTCTACTGTATTTATTAGAAAAAATGTGTCTGAAACAAAGTCTTMATCTCAGTTATCTCCTTGTATTCCTGTAAAATATTGTCCTTAAATAATCTGATTGAAACAAAACAAATAAAACAAGCTTTTTTATTCATGTGGAAAAGTTACACTTTCCAGGAAGCTGAGGACTCATAAATTTGTGGTGAAAGTTTGGAAGGATGAGATCAATTTAGTCATCCTTTTAGAGGACTGCGGGGTATAAAGTATGTCCCATAAATAAAGGTTTCTGTACACCAGACTTTCTTAATCTGAGCACAGTGTCTATTTGCTTCAAGATAAAAATGTAAACTACTAGTATGGGGCGCCAAGTGTAAAATAAAATKTTAACAAACACATTTTTTATTATAKAGCTCCCTTTTTGAGTGTTAAACCCTAGTTTAAAAAAAATCCACAAACATTTTATTGTTGTTTAGCTTACTGTTCTTACATTTGCTAACTTTTACTAAATGTTAACCTTAAATGTTAAATATTATATGTAAATTTAAATATAAAAATTTAACCATTTTAACCAAACATTGTGGCTAAATGTTAAAGTTTACTTTGACGTATTTTGGAATGACCACAGTCTTTGCCGTTATAGGATGTAATCATCCTGCTAATGCTGCTAACTCTGTTAGCACTGCTAATGCTGCTGATGTTGCTAACTCTGCTAATGTTGCTAACTCTGTTAATGCTGCTAACTCTGCTAATGCTGCTAACCCTGTTAATGCTGCTTACTCTGTTAACGCTGCTAACTATGCTAATGTTGCTTACTCTGCTAATGTTGCTAACTCTGTTAATGCTGCTAACTCTGTTAACGCTGCTAACTCTGCTAATGTTGCTCTGCTAATGTTGCTAACCCTGTTAATGCTGCTTACTCTGTTAATGCTGCTAACTATGCTAATGTTGCTTACTCTGCTAATGTTGCTTACTCTGCTAATGTTGCTAACTCTGTTAACACTGCTAACTCTGTTAATGTTGCTTACACTGCAAATGTTGCTAACCCTGTTAATGCTGCTAACTCTGTTAATGCTGCTAACTCTGTTAATGCTGCTAACTCTGTTAATGCTGCTAACTCTGTTAATGCTGCTAATGCTGCTAAAGCTTCCCTGCTAAAACAATCTTGCAGTTGCAGCTGGTGTCCAAGCTGCATTTTGAACTGCCAGACCACAGGTACCATTCATATTGTTTTAATTTAACACATTTTGTMTTTAAAATTYAAACGTYWTCTTSAGCAGCGTTAACAGCGTTAGCAACATTAGCAACGTTAACGATTGCTTTTGCCTTAGGATGGTGAAGTCCTATCAAGAGCCGTGCACCAACAGAAAAGGCTGTTCCATTCAAGAATACAAACTTCTACATTTAACCATGTTTAAGATTCAACTTTTACATTTAGTATTTATTATTTAGACAAAACATTTACATTTAATGTTTAGTAAAAATTAGCAAAATGTAATAACAGTGAACTAAATAACAATTAGTGTAAATTTTTTTGGTTATATTTTATTTTGCACRTTTGTGGCTCATATCCTAGCTCCACAATCTCCTAATGAAATGTTGTTTATTTGTTTCTGTTCTGTGTCAAGCAGGTGTTTAGACACATTAAAAAACAACGAGGCAGACTGGAAGCAGGTGAGCATTTTCAGCAGATTTGTTTGACTGGAATGCTTCTCTCCCCAGGTTTAACGATGCTTTGACAAGTTTCCTGCGGTGAACTTCRTGGCACCGAGGTCCGGGCGGCTGTACTGCATAAGGTCAGCTGTGCAGAAGCAAACTTCCACCTTAGTTTTATTGTAATTACACAGAAACCAACACAGGATCCAGCATTGGTGCTCATTAAACGTGTAACCCTCGGTGCCGTGCTGCCCTGTCACATTTTAAAATCACTCTCTCTCAGACGTCTAATTATCGCTGCACTTGTTGACCAGCTCAGCCCTTCTCCCTGTTTGCGTTCGTCATTTTCTGAGCGTCACAGCTTTGATAGTAGTTTACRACGTTTTCAGCGACGGCAAGACAGCAGATTGTTTCAGTTCTGGAGGTTTACTGAGTTTAGCAGGTTCTAAAATTATATGACGACACACAGCTGTCTCCATGGTGTTATTTATTAAACAAAAGCTTAGCTGACTCTAGGTTTGTGCTGCCGTACCTGCTCAGTCCCATCTAACTGTCCTGTGGTGAACTTTAACCTTTRACCTGCTRACCGAGGTCTGYAGAGTTTAGACGTGGAGCTCTCCGTTTTCTGCAATTTCCTCAAACATAAACCTTTATTAAAATTTCAGAAGCCGACAGGTTCGGATCCGCCCGCCCTCCAAAACTCTCAGTATTATTTTAGGGTCGGGTGCTGATGAAAAAGCAGGAATGTGTGTTTTTAATCGTGCGCTTAACATCCTCAATACCTGTCTGAGCAAATCATATTCAAAAAGGCTCACATTTTCTTTGCACATACCTACTCTACAACGTACAAAGGAATGTTTAGATAGGAGCAGATTTAGGTGCTTTGTGGTTGGGGACTTTAAAGACTTGAGCCAAAAACATATCACTTAAAATGGTAATAAAAGCAAAATGTATTTATTATTTATTTATTTAACTTCTGTGTTTGTATTTGTTTGTTTATCTGTCATATTAGCAAAATATACCATTTCGCAGTGAAAAAATGTGCATGTGCAAAGCGGGCCAACCTTACACATTGATTGGGAACTGAAACCAGGGGTGGAGCCAGAGGGGCGGATGGGCGTGTCCTCTGGTACGATTGTCCACCCCCAAATATTTGACGTGGGTGGGGATCTTGGATTTTTTTTAAAGATTTTTCTCTGACACTACTGTATAAATGTTCAGCTGCTTAAAATTCATTAATTATAGCCCTTTTGTAAAATTAGCATTAACAGTGGTTAGCTTAATTTGGGATTAGGATTAACAGTGGTTAGCTTAATTTGGGATTAGCATTGACAGTCAGCATGTGATCGTAGTCAAGTTGGCTGTGGTGGCCATCTTTAATTTAGGATTAGCATTTAGAATTTGGTAACGATTGTTTTTGGCTACTTCTACACAAATATTCAGCTTTTTTATGTTTAAGAATACCTGAATAATAATTTGTGACTAGCATTTGTAGCATGTATTTTTGACCATTCTTCGTTATGATCACACAAAATTTCAACTTACCTTCTTAAATTTTTWATTCCAGAGTGCTTTTCTTCTTTATTTGTATGTGCCCCCCTACAAAATACACTTGGTCACCCCTTGCAAAAAAGTCTAGCTCCGCCCCTGATGGAAACGCCATTGTAATTGCACAACTTTAACCAACACCGTTTTATAGACCCGACGAATTTGCGTTAAAATTTCCTTTAGGCTCACAGGTGAGATTTTTAATATTTCCTCTATAATTCTGTATTTTGAGTTTGTTGAATGTGCATAATTCCACTGGCGTTTATAGCAATCTTGGCATTTTACCGGTTGACCTGTGACCCTGAATTGCAAGGCTCTGCTATGCGCTCAAAAAAACTACGAACTACTTTAAGCAAACTTTAAAAATAATCACTAAATTTAAATTTAGACCTGATAAATTTAGAGTCAACCCAAATCAAGGTGTGTGGTTCGCCACAGCTAACATAAAACCAGCTCAAACTAAGCCGATGAGCTAAATTTTAGTTTGGTAGTAGCTAACCCAATTTATAACACGATTTGTCTTTTATCTTGTCGAGATCAGAGACGATCCTTCACTCCAGTCCCCACATGTATGTCCTGAGGGACATGGAGGGGAAGCTGATGAGGTGAGCGGTGAAGGCGGAATGACAGACAGACAATTTAACAGAAAATTATTCTGGTGAAGGGGTTCAGTCTTTGTCCCACTTTCACTTTTCATCAAGTGTTTTGGCTGCTGGCAGGCTGAAGGAATGCACCGCGGGGCAGCTCGACGCTCACCCCGACACAGAGAGAGACATTCTGCTGGTCCACGTGTTTCTGAGAGGTGAAAGGCAAGAAGGGTGTGGCTCCACCAGAGATTAATGTCTTCGCAGGTCATGTGCAGACAAAAACACACAGACTCCATCCATCTTGATACATTGCCGTTTCGATACACTCCAGCGGGGGAGAAATTACCTGAGCTTAACTTTTAAGTCACTTCAAAGCTTTTAAATCCATTTAAAGGTTCTTCCTGCTGCCTTCAGGTGATGTTTGTGGTATTTAACAGAGCTCTGCATTTCTGGGTTTGCTTTAAAAAAAAAGGCAGGTTAAGGCAGAAGAAAGTAGCTATAAAAACAGAACTGCAGCACCATCTACCTTCATATACAGTAACTTCATCTGTACCATTAATGATCAACTCTGTGACGTCGACGAAACTTTAATAAACATATTTATTACTGAAGCCAGTTTTTAATCACTCTAGATGCATAAAACGCACAGAGCATTTTGTGATGAATACAATCAACACGTCTACTTCCTTAGCGATGTTCAGTAAGAATTTATTTTCTGAAGCGAGACAAATTAATTCTATTCTGCAACAGTTTAATTATAAATAATAACATTTCTTGGCTCAATAAAGTAAATAAGGAGTGCGAAGTCTGTCCGTAAAACATGAAAATCATCCAATAATTCTCCCAGAATGTCCAAATATTCATATATTACAAGCTCCCTAACATTCAGCAGGGTTTTTATTCCGTTTGACCAACTCTTAAAACATAAAAATAAAGCTCAAATGGTTGTCGTGTCACCGAACTCTTTGTTCCACTTGGTGTACATGCTCAGAGTGGCTGGGCTGACTGTGGGTTTAATGCGCTTCAGGGAGTCCTCGAAGTCTTTCATCTTGATGTTACGCATCTGTGAAAACGGAAAAAACGGGTGTAGCTACACAAAATCTGTTGTTACATAACAAACGAAAACTTGTGTGTGATTTACGACATCGCCTCACCTCTTTAGCTGATATATTTCGCACTTGGTCTGGTCCCAACTCTGAAAAAAACAACACATTTTTACATGAAAGATTTAAAAGTTGTCTAAAACAAAAGATGAAACCAGAGGAAGAGAATCCCAACGAGCTCCTAAACCTGYTTCTGTTCTGGTTTTTCTACTTTTAGCTAGAATTGTGCTAATTTTGACCATTTTGCAAAATTTAGCTTCCATGTATTCTTTTACAGCTTTTTACCTTCTAGCATACATGTTGCTACATTAAGCTTCTAGCTAAACTTTTGCTATTTAAGCTCATTTTGCTAACACTTTGCTGCTTTTAGCAATCATTTTGTCAATTTAGCTAGWGTTTTGAAACTTTAAGCTTTAGCCAGCCTTTAGTTAAATATATATTACCTAGCCTTTTTCTACTTTAAGCTACAATTTGTAAAGTTTTAGCTTAAATATAACCTTTTGCTAGTCTTAGCTTTAAGCTAGACTCATACCAGCTTAGTAGTCTGTTTAGTTTTTAGCTATTAATTGGCAACTTTAAACTTTTAGCTAGCCATTGGTCTCATTTAGCTTTTAGTTAGCTTTTTGCTACTTTTAAAAATTCCTTTGCTATGCTCAGTTTTAGCATGCATTTTCCTACTTTTAGCCAGTGTTTTGCTATGTTTAGCCCACYATTTCTTGCTATTTAGCTAGTTTTTAAAGAGTATTGTGCAACTTAAAACTTTCAGCCATTGGTCTCATTTAACTTTTAGYTAGCATTTTGCTACTTTTAGCTAGTCTTTTGCTATGTTTAGCCAACCATTTCTTGCTGTTTAGCTATTATTTTCCTACTTTTAGTTTTTGTCTAGCATTTTGCAAATGTATACATTTAATTGACCTTTACTTTTACTTAGATTTTAGCTAGCATTTTGCTACTTTTAGTTTACTGGGTTTCACGTCTATCAGTTTAGTCTTGAAAGATAAATTTATTTTCCCAACATTAAGACTTTTTTTCTGTCAAATCTGTTTCCTCTTTAACCTTAAAAGAAGGAAATAAAAAGATTTCCTCATAGTGAGCCTGATAAACAGTGGTAAAAATGTGATTTTGTGTCCAGTTTAATAAAAGAATCGTACCTCTGATAGGTCCGAGAGCAGCGTCTTTGGCTAACGATGTCAGATCACTTCCTGAGAACCCTTCGGTTGCTCTGTTAGATAACATTTTTTAAGAATTTACATGAAGCGAATTAAAAAAGCAGCACTGTAAAGGCTCGGTCGGTGACTCACTTTGAAAGGTAAGTCAGTTCGTTCGAGCTCAAAGGATTCCCGTGTTTTCCCAAAAGATTCTTCATCAGAGTCAATCTGGTCTGAAGGGAAAAAAAGAGTTAAAATCATGAGCTAAAATACATCAAGAGAAACAAAAACAGAAACACTGATGGGTGATAAATACCTTCTCATCAGGCAATGCCACGTAAATTCTTTTTGCAAAGCGCCTGTTAAGATAAAAGCATCAAAAACCAGCTGGGATTTTGAACAAGAAAAGGAAACGTCAACACGTCTGGTGGTTATTTACCTTAAAACTGCTTCATCGAGCTCCTGCGGCCGGTTGGTCGCTCCCATCACCAGGACCCTGTCGTCCCCTCCGGACTGCACCTGAAATCCAGACATGCAGCCGTGAAAAACCACGCCTTTGTTCTCCCATCAGATTTCAGCGTCCCACTCTCTTACCCCGTCAAACTCGATGAGGAACTCGGTTTTTAAACGCCTGGAGGCGTCGTGTTCGCCCTCCCTCCTCTCGCAGAGCAAGCTGTCCACTTCATCTGAAAGTCAAATCAGAGGAAAACTAATAGGTTTATTTATGAGCTAAAATTATAAACTGAACCTGTAGAGCGGGTAGAACAGACCGATGAAGATGACAGAGGGTTGTAGCTCTCTCGCAACTGCAAACAGAGCCCGTACAAGCTTTTCACCTTCTCCTACCTGTGACAAAACACAAAGGGTTAAAAACACCACAGCATGACGCCATTATGTAGAAAATATTTGTATTTTTCTTACATATTTAGATGTTAAACTAGCAGCGCTTATGTTGAAGAACGTGGCGTTAGACTCTGCAGCGACAGCTTTGGCCTGACAAATGGAAATAAAGGCTATAATTCAGTAAATAAAGATAAATGTGCAAATAAAATAAAAAAACAGAGTTTGATTTAAACAACTGAGAGTGTTGTGTTCAAACAAACCAGCATGGTTTTCCCATTCCCAGGGGGTCCAAATAAAAGTAAACCACGTGCAGGGGATCTCAGGCCAGTAAACAGCTGGACAGGAAGTGTGAGACATTAAACCTCTGAAGCACAGATACAATAAGGAGAGAAAAGTTACAAAAAAAAATAATTACCTCTGGTCTTAAAGAAGGAAGGATGACAATTTCTTGAAGTGCTTGTTTAGCCAGATCTTGTCCAGCGACGTCATTAAAAGATACAGACGCCCCCCTGCAGCGAACACAAGGGGTTACTTTAAATGTTTCATTTTAAACGCAGCTGAAAAGTGAAGGTGGGCACAAATTTTTATTCTTCAAACTGGCTAAACTGAAGAGCAAACACATTAAACTAAACCTTAACTATAAAATCTGAACACGCTAAATATCATTAATATCATTATTCAGTCCTGCTCTCCCCGTCTCTCCATCCCCACCAAACTCCATTCAAATTTTGCGTCTTTTTATTTTCTTCTTCTTGTAGATTTTTTTTACTGGTTGTTAAATAAATTTGGGTTTCTGTCGGAAAGGAGGTCGAGGGTTTTGTGTTTGTTCGGCTCAAGAAAAAAATGAGCCCGATGGTTAATTGCGTAGTTTTTTTCACAAGATTACCGTGTTTCCTGCTGCTGCAACGAGCTCCAAATAGTTTACTCATTTCTTTAAAAACAACATAAATTCAACAAACCACAAATCATACGTTAAATGAAGGTAGCAGAAGAAGAAAAAAAATCTTATTATATCTGCCCCTTTTTCTCAAATAAATTCAATCAAAAATAATCTTTAGTTTACAAAAYAAATAAATAAATAAAGGTTTAACTCCTTGAACAAATCAGACATTTAAATATTTGATAGGTTGATTATTTTTAGAAAAAAAAGTGGTGTAAACTATTTATCATAACTCCAGTTTTAACTGACCTATTACCACAATTAAAAATACTGGTGTATAGTTTAAAGTCTCTACTTTTAACACAAATTGCAACAGAGTTTCAGAGAGGCTCTGTTCATCTGCAGCCATTTAAATAGTTCATGTGAATAGATCATGTCACATACATTCATAGGGGCTCTTAATTAATGTGCTTTAAGTACCTGTCAATAATTTCATTCAGGATCAAGTTGGCCAGTTTACTGTCCACATTCTTGAAGTTTTTCAAGCCCCTCCTTGGGGGCTGCTTCACAGCTGTGGGCTTCCCGTTGTGAACTTTTCCCGTCCGGAGCATCACCTGGAACAGGAATCAAATTACACCTGAAGCCCTCACCAGCCTTACAAAAGCATAGATCTCCACCATAGATGAGAAACGATCAAAGCACCTTTGGGTCGGAGGGTCTCGTCTGGGGTCTGACAGCAGTGGAGGGCCTGGGGTTAGTGGACGAGCCGGAAGCTGAAGGCTGGATATTAGGCTTTGACTGTGGCTGAACAGAACCGGACGTGGACTGGGGAGGAYTTCTGTTTTTAGACTCCTCTAGCGTGGCCTCTGGGAATCAAGAAGCAGTTCAAGTTAATGCAGCTTTAACAATTTGCAACACAATCCAGATTTTTAGCTAAGAATTACCCAGTTCAGCAAGCCTTTCTTTAGCCATGGTGAGGTTGGCCATCATTTTATCCTGCAGCCTCTTCGACCTCTCATATTGATGTCCTGTTGACAAAACACACAGTATAATTAGCTTCCTAACATTAGGCATACCATGAGTGTATTTGTTTAAATACCTGTTCCTGTCAACTCCACAAAAATGCCCCTTTCGAGCTCAGCGATCCCCTTCTTGTACCACTGCAYAGCTTCTCTCTTATCTGCTGTTATCACACAGAAAGCGCATGTTTATCAGGAGCTATCTCACATTTTAACACTAAATAACTGACCTGAAGACTAAGTAAACAAACCTGCACCGTCTTCGTCGATCCTCAACGCCTTGGATATGTACTCAAACGCTTGCTTGTGGTAGTTTATTGGTAGTTCTTCTCTGTCTCTGCTTTTAGATGACATCGCGTTACTTTCTCCCTCTGCTCGGTTTTAACTTGGTTTAGCGCGCTGTGGCGAACAAAGGGTTAGAATTAGCTTTTAAATTTAATCTATAGAGAAATAAAATTGGATTTTGTCTTTATTAACTTGTTTTTAGCCTCATTTATTGTATAATATTTATGGTCCATTTGTACACAAACAATTACCCCATTAGCTTCCGCTTTCCGGACCGAAGCCCCGCCCCTTGCTCTTCTTCTTCTGTTATTGWTTTCATGGCGGTCTACAAATGTATTAAATGCGCTACCGCCACCCTCCGGATTAAAAGGGGAACGACATGACTTTTAAACCTCACTCTTCACACAACTCTTCTCAAAAATTGAAAATCTTTTGTTCTCTAGGAAACATGAACAGGTTTTTTAAAAACATGTTTCTGAACTGTAATGATAGTGATGATATGAGTGTTAGATAATGCCGGACTTGTGTGTTTATAGTTAAAAAAGCATCTGTTTTTTTTCACTCAATAACTGAACTATTTGATCATTTAGTTTCCTTAATATCAGAGTTGTAAAGTAACTAAGTACAAATACTTTGTTGCTGTACTTAAATATAATTTGCGGTATCTGTACTTTACTTGAGTAATTATTTTTTTACCTACTTTTTACTTCTTACATTTTCACACAATTATCTGTACTTTCTACTCTTTGCATTAAAAAAGGCAAGAAGTAGAAAGTTGTTAATTTTGTTTCTTTTTTTGCTTGTTTTCATTCCAGCTTGTTATTGTAAAAAAATAAATATTATCCATATAAATTGCGCCTCCTAGATAGAGTGAATTTAATTGTTGTTGAATGAGAAGTATAAATATATAAAACTCTGATAGCGTATTAGTTTGTACACAAACAAATCATCTTCAGCAGGACATAATCAGTAAAAATAAAAAGACTGTACTTAAGAAGTATTTGTATTTCATGAATCATATTATTGCATTTGGACCGCAGCACTTTAATAGATTTTCATTTTGGGGAAAGTTTTGGACACCCTTAATATGTGTATACAAACTGAAACAGTTAGTGCATCCTAAATTTAACATAAATTAATTATTTTAATACTATATAGTCATTTCTGCAATTTTTTGGAGGGAGGTCACCTCCTAATAAATATCATTACGTAAAATCTAACTGCTCGTTTTAAATAAATACTTTTACTTTTAATAAGTACAAAAAATTTCAGACTTTTACTCAAGTAATATTCCTAAAGGAGATTTTAACTTTTACAAAGTAATTTTTTGGTAAGATACTTGTACTTTTACTCATACAACACTGCTAAATATATATTTGTTTGCTAAAATAATTGTAATAAACCTCCAATCACCTGCAGGGCCACTCACTACATGCTATTTCTAGCCAAACAATCGTTTCAATGATGGCTCCGCCTTCTTAGAATTACCACCAATCATGTGTTTGTTAAAAACCCAAACAACCAATCAAAACGCTTAACGTCACTTTGACAACAGTTTTAGCGACGCCCCTTACCTGGCTCGCGATAKAAGTCAGTAATCCTTAATGCCGACTGTGACAGCTCAGAGCTACCATATCGGTATCGTTATTGGTCGGTATTGGCACAGTTTTCGGGTTTTGTAACTTGTGCCTTTACGGTTTACAGAGTATTATCGTCAGACTGTCGAACAAGCTGACTTCACTGAATAACCGGTAACAACACAGGGGCCAGCGGACCGAGCTATCCCAACCCAGAGCCGAACTGCCCTTTGTTTCTCCAAGCGTTAGCTAGCAGCAGGCGTTGTTTCATCCTACATCTGCCAGCTAACGCCTGATTGAGCATATATTTTTTTTATTTTACTTCACTGCTTTACAGAAGTCAAGTATATCAAGATAGGCGGCTTGGGAACCAAGATGTCAAATCGAGTGGTGTGCAGAGAAGCAAGTCACGCCGGGAGCTGGTACTCCGCTTCGGGTAAACTATCCACGTTAGCACATACATGCTAACAGACTAGCAGTTGTGTTTTTTTGTTGTTTAGGTTGTTTTTCTTTTCATGTCAGCGGGTATTATCGGGTTTGACTTGTATCTTCGTTGTGGATAACCTCAAGAATCTCGATGTTATGACGGATTTCTTCGTGGTTTTTGTCTGAGCAGGCGGTGATGGCGAGCGTTAGATAATGCTAATCCAGATAATTAAAAAAAAAAGTCAGCTAGCTCAGCTAACATTTTTTTTTCTTGCTAATGGATCTGTGTCATCCCGTGAAAAACACATAAGCTAACTCATAATTTAAAGAGTCTCAAAACGCACTTGGATGTAATATAGAGGCTTATTTTGATAAATTGTTAAGTTAGCCGAAGCTAAAGCAGGGTAATTGGAGAACTTCATGGCCTACATGCTAACTGACATTACTCAAGTCATTAACCTTTTTAAATACAATTTAAAGTGTTATTGCTGTGGTCTGGTTGGGTTCTGACGCATCTTGATTTCGCTGCCGTTAAAACAAAGAACTGGGAAGAACTGTTAAAGAGTTTCATGTAACCCTTCCCCCAGGTCACAAAGCTTTTTCTTTTCTTTTCTTTCTTTTTTTAACCACAAGGTGTTTAGATGTTTCTGTACAAGCCTAAAAATCTAAAGCAGAGTAACCAGATGTCAAACCAGATGTTTGCTACTAATGACATGCATGACAGTATTTATTTAGCTCATGTTAAACAAAATAATTTAGAAGCTTCTTTTTAGTTTATGAAACTAGGAATCTTAAYCTGAACCAGATGGTAGCGTAACATGATCTTATATACAGTTCAGGCATTAAATTATTGGTTAATAAATCATTATTTTGATCAGATCTCAATATTATTACAGTATATCCTAAGAGACACAAACAAAGCTTCGTTTGCTAAATGTGCAGTTTACGTGACAGTGACAAAAAATGTTAGATCTATTTACTGTCAGAGTTGTAATGTAACAAAGTACAATTACTTTGTTATTGTACTCAAAGAGTAACTTACCCCAAAATTAACTTTTTTAGCTGATAAACTGTCTAGAAT